ATTGCTCATGCAGCTGCATTCTGTACCAATTGAAGCTTCCAGATACTTTTCAAAGGTAACCCATGTAGAGCGTGTTGCAATAATCCAGACGGGAGATGACCAGGGAGTGAGTAACTTGCTTACTTACTCACTTACCTCCAGCAAGCACTTGGTCTCCAATTCTGACTGTGTATTGGCTCTTTCCTTCGTTGTACTTTGCGCGTTGACATATGTCACCTTGTCGACGGGTTGAGCTTCCATCCCAGTCATTAAGGTTGCAAATCAACGCGCTTGGGGAACTCAGCAGACTACAAGCAATACTGCCTGAATGCAAGGAAGAAAAGATTTACAGGGTTCAGTTCTGCTTTCTTTGTTGCTGAATCTAATAAGAGTTTGATCTTGGCAGTGAAAACTTGGAGATGTGTTCAGTTGGCCTTTTCAGTCATTCTGCTTTAGACGTCTTGCTTTGTCCTTCTCAGGAACTATAAAAGAACTAATTCCATTCAATTCATCCTGGAAACTGCCTGAGAAGATACAGGAAATCCTAATTCTTCAGGAATATCCTCTGTATCACAAATTAGATCTACAACTTCAGCAGGGTCCAAGGGAAGCAAAGGCTTGGTCCTTGGTCAGTCCAAGGAGTGTCAAAAAAAAAGAGAAAGATGCCCCTAGGTCAGTGATGGTAAACTTTTTAGAGACTGAGTGCCCAAAAACCGTCCCCACCCTGCCACCCTGCCTGTCTGCAGGGCCACTCACTGCCTCCATGGCCCGCTGCAAATCGCCCAGGCAGTCCAGCAGTGCCATGGTAGCTGTGCCCTCCGCATCAACTGCATGTGATGGGGTACAAAGGAGTCTTGTCCCCGCTGCCCGGCTCCTATGCCCTTGGCTGCGCTGCTCCACGTGGGCTGCGCTTGGGGGCGACTCTCCTCTGGGGGGGGCTGCTGGTGAGGAGGGGGCCGTGGGGGGAGGCAGGGCTGGGGTGATGGCACACCTGCCCACAAAGAAGGTTCTGAGTACCACCTCTGGCACGGGTGCCATAGGTTTGCCACCACTGCCCTAGGTATATACCTCACACAACAGAGGAATTGAATCACAATTTCAATAAGTGCAATGGAAGCAGAGACTGAAATGTCGTGTAGTTACTGTACATGGTCAATCTAAGGAGTGTCAATAAAAGGCAGAGAGGCCCCTGGTTATGTACCTCACGCTACAGAGGAACATCTTCTCTATCACAGAATAGCTCTACAACTTCAGCACAGTCCAAGAGAAGCAGAGTCTAAAATATTGTGCAGTTGCATGGTCATTCCAAGGAACGAAAAAAGAAATACCCAAAAGTTACATACCTCACACTCCAGTGATTCTCACTCCCTTTATGCATTTCACCCCAGCTCTGATATAATCATAAATGGTCTGGCAAATTTGCCTATGGGTAAATGGAGCAAAGTATTGTCCATTCGTCCCTCGTATGAGCTTCTGAATTGGATTCTGAAATCATGTATCTGTATGTATTTTTAATTAGGCCATTTGAAGGATTTTTGACTGAAAGGGTATTTTATTTTTCAAAAATTTTTGTTACTTTCTTCAACTTACATCCTGCCTTTTCTATAATGGAATCAAGGCAGCTAGCTTGGTCCTTCTTCCACCACGTTTCAACCTCACAACAACGCTGAGAAATTCAGCAGTAAGTTGAAGATTTGGCCTAAGATCACCTAGTTACAGTGGTGGGATTCAGCCAGTTCGCACCACTTTGGCAGAACCGGTAGCTAATTTTTGGTTGCCCAGGCCCAGAATGGACTTCCAGAAGCGGCATCCACACCGAGAACCGGTTGTTCACATATTTGAATCCCAATACTGGCTAGGTGGCTTCACAGTTGTGAGCACTTAGACTTGCTTCTCCCCAATCCTCAAGCCACTCTACGATGCAGATTAGATCAAGAATTCCCCATTTTCAAAGACGTTTTCAAAGTCACTGACATGTTTATAAACATTTAAAGAACAACAAGAACAAATTCTAACGGAGGAAGAAATTGCAATTCTTCTTCTTTTTTTTCAATTACTCTTACACTCCACAGAGTTTGCACACAACTTCCTGAATTATAAACTATAACATTTGCAAGCCTAACCATTATCATTGACTCATATATTGTCATGGCAAGCTAGCCTGTCTTAAAATTAATCACACAAAATTTTATCATCTACAACATCGTAAGATAAAAAAAATTAGATTTCTGCTCTAGTGGGCTCATTCCTTAGTCCATGGGATAAAAGGAAGGGTGACCTTCTTAGCTGTAGCCTAAAGCATTACCTCCATCTAGTATGAGCTGGCTTAAGATAAAGCCATCACAGCAAGCATCTTGGTGGCAGGCTTGGCGGCAGAAGAGATGAACATCTGTTAAAGATGTACCAGATGCTGATACAACCGAAATGCTGTAAACGCCAGAAACAACATCCTGGAAATCAGTCTTTTCGAATCTCTTGACTCCCGCTGTAGTAAATTCTTGTCCTGAAAACAAAAGGACAACTGTTTCAAATAGTCTACTCCCTCGGTTGGAACGGTTTTGTGAGAATGTCCACGACACACTGTCAACATTCCAGAAATCATTTTTTAAAAAGTTACTTGCTCCTGGTTTTGAGTTGAGCTAGAACTTTTTAACTGCTCTCTGTTGTACAGGTTATGACTGTAATGGAGCCTTGCCAATCGTGGTCACAACTTGTGATGATTGTAAGGGCAATCACTTTTTCGAGGCACTCGTTACTTTGAACCATTGTTAAATGAATGGTGGCAAGTTGAGGACTACTTAAACTGATATTGTTACTGGTATTGCTCTGTAGGCTTCCTTGCTTTAATGGATTCATTTTTAGCCATTGATCTGTTTTCACAAATTTACTGATCAGCAGCAAACATAGGGAAGCAGTGAATTGGGTGATAAGCTGGGACTGGCCAGTTTCAGCAGATCCCCTAGTGCAGGGGTAGGCAACCTTGGCTCTTTTATGACTTGTGGACTTCAACTCTCAGAATTCCTGAGTCAGCATGGCTGGTTCAGGAATTCTGGGTATTGAAGTCCACAAGTCATAAAAGAGCCAAGGTTGCCTACTCCTGCCCTAGTGTATGTCCAAACCCCACCAATGTCTTGTGGACTTCAACCTGAGCACCACAGCTCTAAAACCAGTGGTAGGATTCAGCCACCACTTTGGCAAAACCGGTAACTATTTTTTTGTTGCCCAGGCCCAGAATAGACTTACAGAAGGGGCATCCACACAGAGAACCGGTTGTTCACATATTTGAATCCCACCACTGTCTAAAACTATAAAATTGCTGGGGGTCCTCTCTTGCGCAGATCCTGAGAGTAATTAAAGCTCTTCTGTACATACCTTTTTTCAGGTATACATTCAACGAATCTTTCTTATCTGGGCTTCTCACTTTAATTAGGCATCTGAGACTGGCAATGCTGGTGGCGAGAGAATTATCCCAAGCACCGTGAACCTAGGATAAAGAAATATTCAGAGAAAGCTGATGATGGCTGCAGGATTGCAGAGAAGAACAACAAAGATGATAAAAGATCTGGAGGCTAAATCGTATGACTAACGGTTGAGGGAGCTAGGTATGTCTAGACCAGGGGTAGGCAACCTTGGCTCTTTTATGACTTGTGGACTTCAACTCCCAGAATTCCTGAGCCAGCATGGCTCAGCTTGAAAACCTCTCCCTTTCCCCTCAGCATGGCTGGCTCAGGAATTCTGGGAGTTGAAGTCCACAAGTCATAAAAGAGCCAAGGTTGCCTACCCCTGGCCTAGACTATTGAAGAGAAGGGCTAGAGGGACATGATAACTGTCTTCCAGTACTTGAAGGGCTGTCACAGAGAAGAGGGGGTTGACTTAATCTCCAAAGCACCTGAGGGCAGAACAAGAAGTAATGGATGAAATCTTGTTAAAGAGACATCCAACCTAGAAGCAAGGAGAAATTTTCTGACAGTGACAACAATGAATCAATGGAACAACTTTCCTTCAGGAGTTGTGGGTGCTCCATCACTGAAGGTTCTCAAAAATAGACTGGACAACCATTTGACTGGGATGGTATAAGGTCTCCTGCTTTGAGCAGAGGGCTGGACAAGAAGACCTCTGAGGTCTCTTCCAGCCCTATGATTCGATGTTCTATATCAGTGGTGGTGAACCTATGGCATGAGTGCCAGAGGCGGCACTCAGAGCCCTCTCTGTGGGCACGCGCGCCATCGCCCCAGTCCTAGGCCTTCAGCTGGGTTTTATAAAACCTTTTCGCTTTAGGCCTCCGCCATCGTGTACAAAAAAAAAAAAGGTTCAATCAATCAATCAAATCAATCAGTTTCAACTTTTCGCAGGGAAAAAAAAGATCTTGCAAAGTTGGAATTGATTGATTGAACTTTTTAGACCCACCTAGTCTGCTGTTACCACCACAGCCATGCCCACCCAATGAGCCACACCTACCCAATGGGCCACACCCACCCGGCACCCGATGATGCATAAGTGGGTTTTGGGTTGCAATTTGGGCACTCGGTCTCTAAAAGGTTCGCCATCACTGTTCTATATTACAATGTCATATTTGTACATGGAATATAAAATCAACTCCCATGGCAGGGTTAAGATTAAGTCCATGATCTTAAAATGCTTTCTTAATGCTATCATTTTTCAGCTTTCAAGCTCTTGATGGGGCCCCAGTTGATGGATCTCAAAGCACACTTAAAGGGAGAAGGTATCACCTTTAGTTCCCCATCTTGTCATCATAAAACACATGTACGTAGTTACCAGTCCAGAAGTAGAGCAGTTATAATTGCTCTCCCGAGCACTGTACAGCTCACACAATGTTTCTGAGCCCATGGCTGACAGGGTGAGAAATCCACAGGACTCATCCTCCTCGCATTCTGTAAACAACAAAAGATGTGTCACATGAGCTCTGGAATCAATACCACTGTCTTTGCTTGAGCAATGAATGCAACCAGCAGTAAATACACTGGTCTTCTTTTAGATAAGGTCCTCTGTTCAACGGACAGCACTTGACTTTGTATCTTGATCCTCTACAACAGGGGTCTTCAAACTTGGCAACTTTAAGACTTGTGGACTTCAACTCCCAGAATTCCTCAGCCAGCCGAGGAATTCTGGGAGTTGAAGTCCACAAGTCTTAAAGTTGCCAAGTTTGAAGACCCCAGCTCTACAAGGTAGGACAGATAGCAGTTTATACTCTGAGGCCTGGTGTTTCATAAACATTGAAGGAAATACATAGCTGCCATGAATAGCAACCACTGACAGCAATAGACGAGGATTGACCCCACTCCCTTCTAGCACTGATGATGTTACCTAGTGTGGGAAGTCAGCCCCCCAGAGAAGGAAATATTAAAAGGGCAGAAAAATATATTTCCTCAAAGGATCTTAAAGAGGCAGAAAAGCATGCCCAGTTTTTTTAATAGCCCCAAGTCTCCCTCCCCCAAGCAGAAACCAGCTCTGTAGAAATGCAGATGTAAATAATCCAGGAAGGTTGGAGGTCCCCAGCTAGAAGCTTAGGAAGATAAAGACACCTAAAATCTACATACCCTGCCCAAACTCTAAGACAGGACTAACCCACAGATGCCAAAGGGCACACTCAGACTCAGATCAAAGTTCATGCCACAGGAACAACTCCAAACAAAAGGCTCCAGAGGATATAAAAACCCACTCCCTACATGTGCTCACTCTTTTCTTCTGAAGCCATCTTTCTGTCTAGCTCTCCTCTTCAATAAATTGCAACCTTCTTTCTAAAACAGTCGCCATGTTGTTTATTCCCGGCTTGGACTGAACCCTGATGAAGACTTTTCCTTCAACACTAGTAAGGTAATGAAACATCTGCAAGAAAACCACCAAGCTCAGAGAGCCCCAAGGACCTCACAACCACTGATACAGTCGCTTTATCCTGTATGACATTTAACACAGATGACTGTGTTTACAGACCACTTGCTAAGGAGACTTTAGGCTTGGAAAGCAAAAGCATTGGAAACATTATTGACCTGCAACGCATTGCTGAAGGGTGTTCATAGGCGTTCCTTGGAGTGTTTTAGTTCCAATTGTTTCTGATTCCTCGGTGGTGAAGATAAGATTGGAAGCAGGGACCTTCTCAAAACGCCTGAGGACTGAAATGAAATAGAGGGTTAGGATCAGGTAGGTTTGGAAGAATACCCTGATAAAACTTTATGCTAAGGCTGGCAGAGAACCTAGCTTACCATTTTTTCCTTACCAGTTTTCCTTCATTTGGATGAAGGAGAAGGTCTTAGAATTTTATTTCCAAGGAGAAAGCCATTTTAATGACCTTCTAATGGGAAGAATGTGGTGGAATTATGAGCAAACCAGTGGAAATATCCTCTCATGCATCATACAATACAGGTAGTCCTCAACTTATGCCCACAACTGAGCCCAAAGTTTCAGTTGCTAAGTGAAACATTTGTGCAGTGAATTTTGCTCCGTTTTATGACCTTTCTTGCTCCAGTTGTTAAGTGAACCACTGCAGTTCTGATTTCAATCTGATTTCCCCATTGACTTTGCTTGTCAGAAGGTCGCAGAAGCCGATCGCGTGACCCCAAGGCACTGCGACCGTCATAAATATGAGTCAGTTGCCAAGCCTCTGAATTTTGATCACGTGACCCTGGGGCTGCTTGCAATGGTCATAAGTGTGAAAAACGGTCATAAAGTCATTTTTTCAGTGCCCTTGTAACTTCAAACAGTCACTAAATGAACTACTGTAAATCGAGGACTACCTGTAATTTATCTAGCAGAATTGTCTATACATGGTTTCTGGCTTCTCTTGTTTCCATGAAATCTCTTTTTCAGTCTTGCAAGGTCTATGTTAGCTCTTCCAGAACAAGGCTACAAATTCCTTGTGCTCTGGGAGAAATAGACAAACAGAAATGTTGTCCTCATCTCCTTCACTTAGACTAGGTCAGGGGTAGGCAACCTTGGCTCTTTCATGACTTGGGGACTTCACCTCCCAGAATTCCTGAGCCAGCATGGCTCAGCATGGAAACCTCTCCATTTCTCCTCAGCATGGCTGGCTCAGGAATTCACCCTCAACTTCAGGTGCTCAGTATTTTCTCGGTTCCAACGGAATCTGAGTGTGAGTGTAAATGTGTGTGTGTGTGTGTGTGTGTGTGTGTGTGTGTGTGTGTCTCTCTCTCTCTCTCTCTCTCTCTCTCTCTCTCTCTCTCTCTCTCTCTCTCTCTCTCTCTCTCTCTCTCTCTCTCTCTCTCTCTCTCTCTCTCTCTAAATAACATATGGAGGACTTCAAGTCTGAAGCAAAAGAGTTACTACTCTAATCCTGGGTACCACTACAAGGTCAATTAAGGATAAAAACTACAGGTGAAGATGGTAATTAGGATTACTATTACAACTGAAGACCGCTATTATGGCAACCACCATTATTTTGAAAACAGGTTTATCTTTTCCCTGGGATACATGATAGCTTAACGAATGAGGCACCTCAAGTACACTTTTGTAACTGCACACCAGCAATTCCCCCCCACCCCACAAGGAATGTGTCTCCTCTTACAACCTCTTTGAAATGAGTGCCAATCGTTGCATTAGGGATTAGTTTAAGGGACGGCAAGTGCCAATTTCATCCCCAAGGATTATGGAGAGAAGATGAAACACTGTCCAATTATTTCTTGCTAAAACAATTAAGGCCTATTATAGCTTAGCCCAAAAGGAGTACTCAGCTTTCCAAATGTGATAGTCCTAATTAGAAAGAAGGGAGGGAGGGAGGGAGGGAGGGAGGAGGAAAGAAGGAAAACATGAGAGTTCACCTTGAGGCACATTCATGGATTCATGGATGCACCTCCTTTTGTTGAAGTTGTCTATGGAGATTCTCAATCATCCAGATCATGGTTGTCCTAAGGGTGCTTTTTCCAAAAGACAACTGAATGTCTAGGGGTTTTTTTCCCTTGAAAATGTTTCACTTCTCATCCAAGAAGCTTCTTGGATAAGAAGCTAATTTTTTTAAAAATCAAATTTAAAAAATACTGGACAACAAAGTCCAGTTGCCTTTTGGAAAAGCACCATTGGGTTATGTCGAAGTTCTACTTCCATGGCGGAGGCGTGACCAATCTACTCACCCGAACATTGGGAATCTGTCAAAGGACCCCCTGTCTCTGTCCAGTCTAATCTCTTTCCATTGTTGTCAACACAAAATGACTTTTGGGTGGAAGGATCTTGGTAAGAAGGTCTATACTGGCCATTGTTATCACACCGTTCCGCTTGTTCGTTCCTCTGGCAATCAGTAATACCTATCGGATGGGCACAGAATAAAAAAAAAGTTTGGTGCGACAGAATTCCATTCGATAGAAAATATTTGTAGCTCAGGGTTGAATAGAAGAATCCTTGGTGCTCTCTGAACTTGCTTGTTTTCTTGCAGATGTTTCATTACCAAACTAGGTAACATCATCCGGTGCTACTGATAATGTTATCTAGTTTGATAATGAAAACAATCAAGTCCAGAGACCATCAAGGATTCCAGAAGTCCATTCCTTTGTGATTCTCTAGCCCAGGGGTAGGCAACCTTGGCTCTTTTGTGACTCGTGGACTTCAACTCCCAGAATTCCTGAGCCACCATGGCTCAGCTTGGAAACCTCTCCCTTTCCCCTCAGCATGGCTGGCTCAGGAATTCTGGGAGTTGAAGTCCACGAGTCATAAAAGAGCCAAGGTTGCCTACCCCTGCTCTAGCCAAAGACCTTTCTGAATGAATCAGACCTTAAGTTGGAATTTCGGTCACCTAATTTTCAATGAATGCTTACTTCACTGGGCTACGTATGAATGCTGTACAAAACTACTGTATAAGGTGAATTTTTAGTTTTGGTTTAGCGTAATGTGCAAATATTATATATGCAACTAATATACCTTATTCAAAAACCCATAGTTAAAGCAAACATTACAAACCCAGATACAATCCAGAATTCTACCATCTTGCTCTCCCATTTGTTGACCCGGCCATATTCAAAACAGATGCTCTGAGCATTGTTTGGGATACCATATTCTAACCTATAAGGTTTCTTGTCTTATATTGTGTAATCCCACCCATTCTGCTTCTTAAACCAGGATTTATGACTTAGTGTTACATGAGCACTCAGATAACTATAGCTCATTTAACCAACTTGGCTAATTGTGGTTTATCCAATAACCAGTCCTTGGTTTAGGCACGACTGGATAAGGGAAACCTTTACCTTTCTTTACTTTATGAAACTACTGGAAACCATTCTATAGAACATAAAACAATAGGATTGGAAGAGACCTTGGAGGTCTTCTAGTCCAACCCCCTGCTTGAGCAGGACACACTGTATCATTCTGGACAAAATGATTATCCAGTCTCTTTCTAAAAACCTCCAGTGAAGGAGCATCCACAACAATACCAAATGTAAAGTACATTATACGTTTTTCTAAGAGTCTTACAGTGATCTTCTCTGAAAGCTCCAGTGGAGATGGTAAATTTCCCAAGAGGACACTTCACACAGAAGTTACTTCCTGCTTGGTCTTGATAGAAACCAGAAGGACATGGAATGCACTTCTCATTCTGAAAGGAAGAACCTGGAGGACAGAGAGCTGCAAATGAAGGAAAGGGGCTTATTATTCTGTGGAATTCAGATTCATTTTGAATTTTTCCAGGAGAGAGAGAGAGAGAGAGAGAGAGAGAGAGAGAGAGAGAGAGAGAGAGAGAGAGAGAGAGAGAGAGAGAGAGAGAGAGAG